TTTCATTTTCCCAATCTAAAAGCTCATACATTTTATAAAATCCAAAAAGTCCCATTTTTCATTATCAAAATTGGACTTCTAGTTTGAGTGGCTGAAGTTTATTATTTTCATTAGAGATGTATTGTGTTTAACGAACCAATCCAATTCAGTTAGTATAGAACTATAGATTCATTATAACATAAAGAGTATTTAAATTAATTTTGTATTTTATTTAAATAAATGAGTATAAAATTTTGCAACACAATTTTTAAAAATTATATTCGTAAAAACAAAATTCTTAGCTAAGTAATTCTTTTTTTTTTTAATGAAAGTCTTGGCTAAGTAATTTCTGAATCATTAAAAAATTTGGGAATAGGTTTCAGGTGCCCCAACTCCGAAACGTTAATTAAAATAAGCCGACCCAGAGAACTAAGGGCTTTTTGATTTTTTCTTTTCCTCACTTATCATTTTTAAAAACTGTTTTTAAATCAATTTTAAAAATTATGTTTCAAAATAAATCAAAATAAAAATTTATTTGATTATGTTAATTTAAAAATTAAAAATTTGGTTGATAGTGACTGATGATTAGTGGCTAATAATAATGGAATAATGGCTTATGATAGTAATTAGTCACTATAATTTTCAATAATCAAATATAATATTTCTTAAAAATAAAATAAAACAATTTTAAGATGTTTCTTTTAAAAAAATAAACAAATAAAAATAATTCTAAAAACAATTATATTGAAAACATTTATTTAAATAAATTTTTAAATTTTTTATTTTAAAAAATAGAAAACAGTTTTCAAAAAACAAACAAGCCCTAAGTTGTTAGGATTTGAAAGTAGTGATTTAAAAATCAGACCAAATTGGACGATCGGACTGGTTGGATCGTCAACCGGTTAGGCTAACAATTTGGTCAAGCTAAAAAAAAGAGTATTAGGCCAGATTTGGCTGTTTTGAATCAGCAGTCGGATCAAGAACCGAAATCAAGTTGGGAACTAGTTTCGGTTTTTAAAGACTAGATTGTTCAAAAAATGTCTATTTTTTTAGAAAATGATTAATTTTTTTAATCATTTGATATTATATTATATTATGTGGTTCATTAAGTTATGATAAACTTAAAATATTTAATTTTATTTTTAAATTAAGTAGTAATTTCATACTTATTTATTATATTTAAATTATTATATATATATATAATTTTTGATTTAATTATTGTATTACTGGTTCGACCATTTGTTCAGCTCCGTTAAATCATGTGAATCATGAACTACTAATCTTTTTAATTTAATAACATATTCGGTTCTGAAAATATTGTTTGAAAGTATTTCATCTGCCTAGTTGGGTATAATTATTGATGGGTATTCAAATTATTAATATAATCAATATAAAAAATATAATTTTTTATAAAATATTAAATTCATAAAGATGTTGGCACTTGATGCCTATCTTCCCCCTCCTCCATGATGAAATACCTACTACCATCACCTCATTTTTATTAAAAAAAATGATATGGGAACGTTGTATCTTGTTATATATAAGTACTATTTGGATTATATATATATATATATATAAATGAAGATAAGACTACTAAATTTAATATAATTAAAAGTAGTTTTTTCACCATTTTTTTATGAGATTTAAAATTTCAATCTTTATTTAAAGATAATTAAATCTTTTCTGTTCCACTCAACTATTATCAATTAAGTGATGTTTTTCTTGTCCATGTCTCACTGTAAATGTGTGTGAAAAAAATAGAAGAATGATATGTCATGATTCTCATAATTACAAGTCATCATCGTTTGGAGATCCTTAATCCAAATGTCTTGCGTTCCTACAGAAAATTAATTATACAAAATTGTTCGTTAGTTATTATCTTTTAAGGATGAAATAAAGAATTGATCGGCTAGTTAAATAACATAATAAATAAATAACGACATTGGCAAATGGGTGACTATTATCCTGAAGAATAATATCGTGCCTTGGCCTTATTAGTTATTTTAAATTATCCAACATAATCCCAGATGTGATTCTGAATTCTGATCCTTAAATTAATGTCTGATGTATTGTACACTATAAAATTCTAGACCAAATCTACTAATTCACCGTGTTCAACATTATTATAAATTTGTTATTCTTTCAAAATATTAAAATATTGCAACTAGATGGTTAAATAATAAAAAGGGATGGTAACTCTCGTCTCCCTCGAGAGTAATAAAATAGCTTAATATGCAACTCAGATGAGATCAAACTCCAAGAAACCGACACAAAACATATTATATTGAATAAAAATTTCCATGAATCAATGCAAGGAAAAGGACATGTGGAGCATCCTTTAATTTTCATCTGGACCAAGTAATAAATGAAGGTAAGTTGTAAATGTATAATGAATTACAGGTTGGCAAACAATGAAATTGAGTCCTAATCAAGTTGCTTTTAAATTTGTACTCTATACAGTCAGGCACCTGTCAAGCTCAAGGGACCATTTTCCTGCTCTTTTCTCTTTACCCGCATAAATTCAAGGGACCATATAATAAGGGTAATTAATTTGTTGGATAATTATTTCAAAATTGGTCAATTAATACAGTTCAGCTGTGAACACACACACACACACATATTGGATGTGTAAAACAACAAAAGACAATTCAAACTTCAAGGGTGGCTTCTACTTAGCCTTCTTTTTCAGACAATTTGATTGATGCCATATCGTATTTCAAAATGCGCATGCTAACTACTACTACCCTCTACCCTACCAGTTTTCAAATCAGATCAATATTCTGTGAAATTGAAAGCCACTGTTTTTGAAAAAGTTGCTGCTAAATTTAAGAAAGTGATTACAAAACCATGTCGAATTTAAATCATGTATGGCTTCGAATACTACTAATAAATTAAATCTCACAAAAGGATAGTAATTATAACTTTTAAAAGTAATGTAAAATTTTGAATCCATACCTTTTTTCGTATCTTGTTATTTTTCCCGGAAAATAACTTGTGAAAATATGTTGGTCAAGGCTTAAACCAAAATAAGCTTCCTCCTGTGTTTTTCATAAGAGACTTTTTAGAAAGCTTTCATGATCTTTTTATAAGAGAACTTGTATATTTCTACAAGCATTAATTAGTTGTTTTCTTTGAGTACCTTTAATCATGTAAAGATGAGATATAATATATTATTGACAAAGAGTAATTTTAAAAAATAATTGAAATTATGAGCATATTTAATGAAAGTAACTAATTTTTTTTAATTTATATAAAAGTTGTTAAACATAAGATAAGAGGAAATATATAGCATGGATTGAAAGTATTAGGTTATCCGAATATAAATAAACTTGGACCAAATAAAATTGAGTTTAATAATTAATATATAATTAAAAAAGGTTTTATAAACTTAAATCTTAAAGTTTTGACTTACAATATGATGTCTTTTTTGCTCATTTGTCCTCTGCTTCCTGGCGGTTGATCCCTCATCCCCCACCAATATTTTTATCATACAAAGACAGAAAACGAGACCGGTCATCAATGTGCTGAAGATTATAATTTTTGGAAATGGCAAGAAAAACATTCAGTGCCTGGCATCGAAATCATTATTCAATTTTCGCCAGAGGCAAAATAACAATACATCAATGAACATTCATGACCAAACATCGTTATTAAGTACAAATAATAACTTCATTAAAAAAATTCTAATGACTAGCAACCTAGATTCTGTATTTTGGTCATCACCTAGATTATAGTAGATATATTATTTTATATATAAAATATTGTAAAGTATTGAACTGAGATGTCAGTTTCAAGTTGGGGAATTATCAGGAAAATGGTTTCTCCTTTTCCTCTATTCTCAGTTTTCCATGGCTAGATCAAAGTTTCAAATATTCTTATTTAATATTTGATAAAATTATTATTTTAATTTTATATAAATATATATAAATAAATTCAACCTATTAAAACTTGATCTAGACAATTTAGAATTATAATATTTTATTTATAAATTTTATGAAAAATAATAATAATTTTATTAAAAATTAATTTAAATATCGTTGAAAAGCTTAGATTTAACTGTGATAAAGGAAAAATAAAAAAAATAGAAAATAAGAGAAGAGGAAACACCCCTCCAAAATTATAATTGTTCTGTCTGTGACAAAAGCTAAGAGGAAAATGGTTTTCCAAATCTTCTGCCGAGAATTACGTTCTATAAAATATAAAACTCAACATGTATTGATTTGTTTGGAGAACGAAGTTACCCCACATGTTTTAAATAATCCATTTAAAGACTGATTAACTATATTAAAGAGCATCATGCATTGCATGCTTTATGTAATCAGTATAATATTCGAAACATTATATAGCGGTACATTTATAAGATCTCGGGGGACATAGTTTATTGCATCAATCATGTTTAATTGGATTCCCTTCCCCTTGTTCATATATCTCCGCACAGTTTTCTTTGGTAATTATTTGTTTTTGGTATACTTCTTTGGCAATTATTTAAACCAACAGTTACATGTGGCAATGTTAATACTTCTTCATCTCTTCTTACAACTCTAGCTATGATATTAAAAAAAAAAGTAAAATAAATCATGTGTGCTTGAGTGTGTAGAGAGAGAGAGAGATTGAAGGAACGACAAGTTAAAAATTAACCATTTAATGTGACAAAGAAGGCTTTTGTGTTGAAGTATTTCAATTATTAGTTATAATGGTTCCAAAGCCAAAAGACTTAAAAATTAACATTATCGTTGTCTTTTCCCCCTCCGTAAAGTAAATTGTGATATTAATTTATTTCCACCTTTGGTTGCAAAATTTAAATCCTCGTTCTAACCCCACTTTGGATCCCAATGTCCCAACAAATTAGATCAATCAATACCTCTTTCATTAATGTTCACTATTCAATAATTTCAGGACATTCTTTAAAACAAGGCAATAACTTTTACAAGTCAAAAGTCAATTTCTCAAGAGGATTATTAATTACTTGTAGGGTGAAAAGGGTAAACAAAGGAGCTATAAGAAGGGAAGCTCTTGTTCTCCAAAGATCACAACCAAAAACAACTCAACACAATGGGGTCCCTAATGGCCTCTCTCACTCTTTTATTGGCTTTACTCTCTCTTACCTTCCCTTCTCAAATCCTTGCTGATCACTACTTCTACTCATCTCCTCCACCTCCTAAGAAATATCCTCCTATTTCTCCTCCTTACCATTCCCCATCCCCGCCAACTCCGGTTTACTCACCTCCTTCTCCCTCACCACCAATTTATTCTCCACCACCGCCAAAAGCTCCTTACCATTATCCATCACCTCCTAAGAAGGGTGGATACAAACACCATTCTCCGCCACCGCCAATTTACTCTCCTCCCAAGCATTACCCTTCTCCATCACCCCCAGTCTACTCACCACCAAAAGGCTCCTTACCATTATCCATCTCCTCCACCCCCGGTTTACTCTCCTCCCAAGCATTACCCTTCTCCATCACCCCCAGTCTATTTGCCACCAAAGGCTCCTTACCATAATCCATCTCCGCCACCACCGATTTACTCTCCTCCCAAGCATTACCCTTCTCCATCACCCCCAGTCTACTCACCACCAAAGGCTCCTTACCATTATCCATCTCCTCCACCACCGGTTTACTCTCCTCCCAAGCATTACCCTTCTCCATCACCCCCAGTCTATTTGCCACCAAAGGCTCCTTACCATAATCCATCTCCGCCACCACCGATTTACTCTCCTCCCAAGCATTACCCTTCTCCATCACCCCCGGTCTACTCTCCCCCGAAGGCTCCTTACCATTATCCATCTCCACCACCACCAGTTTACTCTCCTCCCAAGCATTATCCTTCTCCATCACCTCCAGTTTACTCGCCACCACCAGTTTATGCTCCTCCCAAGCATTATCCTTCTCCATCTCCTCCAGTGCACTCGCCACCAAAGGCTCCTTACCATTATCCATCTCCTCCACCACCGGTTTACTCTCCTCCCAAGCATTACCCTTCTCCATCACCCCCGGTCTACTCGCCACCCCCAGTTTACGCTCCTCCCAAGCATTATCCTTCTCCATCTCCTCCAGTGTACTCGCCACCACCAGTTTATGCTCCTCCCAAGCATTATCCTTCTCCATCTCCTCCAGTGTACTCGCCACCAAAGGCTCCTTACCATTATCCATATCCTCCACCACCGATTTACTCTCCTCCCAAGCATCACCCTTCTCCATTACCCCCAGTCTACTCTCCACCAAAGGCTCCTTACCACTACCCATCTCCCCCTCCCCCTCCTAAGAAGAGTGGGTATAAACACCATTCTCCTCCACCACCAATTCATGGTTACCCTCCTAAGACACCTTCCCCACACCACCACCACCACTACCACCACCATCACCCGGCACCACCAAAGGCTCCGTACCATTACCCATCTCCTCCACCACCACCCAAGAAGCCTTACAAGTATCCATCTCCTCCACCTCCATATAGTCCTAAGCCAGTGTACCACTCTCCTCCTCCTCCTACTTCTCCCACTCCTATCTATTCCCCACCTCACAAGCCCTATGTCTACGCTTCACCACCCCCTCCTTACTACAACTAGAGAGTGGCTTTGCATAGCTAGCATTTCTATGTAAGCTTATTTCCTATTTTCTTTTTTATATAATTATATAAAAAAAGTACCTTTTCTTATTTCGAATTTTTTTAGTAGGCAAGACTTCTCAATGTAACACCCTTCACATAAAATATTTTTAAATTTCATTTTTTTAGTTTAAGGTGTATCACCCTGTTAACTGTGCATTTCGTATAAAATTGTTTTTAATGTTAATTATTATTAGTTATATTAATAGCTAATGATTAACTGTGCATTTCGTATAAAATTGTTTTTAATGTTAATTATTATTAGTTATATTAATAGCTAATGACATGATTGATGGATACCGATGGCATGGACTAACAGAGCAATAATTTTCATGTTTAGCTTTTCAGGGTTTGAAGAATATATATTGAGCAAAATAAAGAAAGCGACGGAATGAAGCAAGCAAGAATGCGAAATCCACAAACGAAGGATCAATGGAAGCAAGGTTTCCGCGTTTTGTCTTTAAAAAACATAATGATATATATATATATATATATGAATGCTAAATTAGCTAGTTTTTCTGTCTTTTTCTGCTTGGAGTGGTAGTGTATTTAGAAATTGTAAGCTGTAAGGCACGTCGTGCTTTTTCATGTGGTCCCATTTAGCGCTTATGTTAGTTCAATATCAAATACTCAATGGTACATGCGTGCATGCACTGTTGACTGAAAAGTTGGAGTGGAGCCTTTAAAATTTAGAGTTAATACTGTTCACCAAAGCCCCATGCTTCTTTTTTTGCCAACTCCTTCATCATCGAAGGAAACACACCCTTCGCAGCCCCTCTGAACTCGAACCCACGTTCTGCATATAGCAAGTGGGCCATAATGACACAAGGCCACTGGTGTTCACCAAAACCCCATGAATCAAACCCCACCCTTATTAATTTGCCCACATTTATAACTTTCAAATAATAAGCCTATATTTAATGTTATTGAGCTGCGATACTCATTTTTTATGAGTTAAGATGTTATAAAATATAAAACATTTTAGAGTTTTTAAGGTGTAATTAATAAAGTTTTTTTTAAAGCTCTAAATTATGGGGTGTAATTAATAATATTTTTCAATTGAGATACCATTAAATTATAGTAAATATTAAAAAAGTGTATAATTTTAAAGACAATTAACTAACTTATTAAAAAATATAATTCAGTTAAAAGTGTTTTGATAATTTTGAATGGATGGAGTATAAATTTAATACTAATTAACTAAATATTTTAAAATTTTAACTACTGCTGGTTTGATCAATCTGTCTTTCCTTGGTGTCATTTCAAGAGGAAAAATTCTGCATTACTTTCTTTCTATGCGCGTAATTGCGGTTCAGCTAATTTTGATTGTTAAAGTTGAATTTCTAAAAAAAAAAATCGATACTTGTATCAAACTGGATGGAAAAATAGTAAAATACAAATAGAAAATAAAAGTGTAGAGCACTATCTTTAATTTCATCATTTCCCACCTCTATGCAAAAAGGAGGGATATAATGAAAGATGCTAAAATCATGAGCAAGACCATGTCCTTTTCTAGCTATACAATTAATTTAATTTCCCTATATATGAAATCAATAGAAACCTTCGTGTTCCAATTGAGAAGGGATATTTGATTCTTGAATACGGGTGGTTGATGCATCGTTCTCTTCTAATCAGATTGGTCGCTTCTATTTATAAAGCCACTGAAGGCCACATGCTGAAACCATTAACTAGCTATAGCTACAGAAACTCTCGACAACGTGCCCTGCACATCCTTGATCACGCCTTCACAATGCAACTTTCAAAATGAACGAACCGAAATAAAACCCAGGATGCAACATATGTACATATAATCAATACAGTACATTTGGAATTAAGTGTATACATTGCCAAATGTCATGGCCTTGGAACTTCTATTTCTTTAAACTGTGTTGGTTTTAGCTTGATCAACCCTTAATTTTGGCAAAGTTAGTCAAAACCACAATGCAGGAAAGAGATTTAACAGAGCTAGTCGCACAAGTAAAGAGTAGAGAATTTGAATAAATGAATTTGAGAGATTTGTTAATTTACTTGAGGGGTTACAAATGAGGGGTGAAGGGGTATTTATAGGCCTCCCCCTCTTTCAGAAAGTTTCCAACTCCTTAATGGATGGTTGGAATTAATTGAATCCAACGATATACATTTTATCTCTAGAATATCTTATAGAAATATCTATAAGGACTATTCTTGATATTTACAAGAAGATTTTTAGAATAAACAAGAGGTGGATATTCCTAAATAATCTAGATACTTCAAGCACTCCCCATACTAGAGATATCTGAATCATTTGGAATCATACCAATATTTCTAGAAGTCTCTATGCCTTCTTGATTGTTCTAGATCTTTCTAGTCTTCGGGTCATTTCAGAAGCTTCTAGAATGTTTTAACCTCATGAAATATTCTAGAATATTTTTAAACATAATTTTTTATTTTTGCACTTTATTCGTGTTTTGTTATAGGTCTCTGTACTTTTTTTAGCGTTCTAGGTCTCTATACTTTTATTTTTTGATGTTCTAGGTTCCTAAATTACCAAAATGATCAAAGTGTAAGGATCTTAAATGAATGTAAGACACCAAAAATAAAAATATAGGGACTTAAAATATCAAAAAAAAGTGCAAGGACCTATAGCAAATACAAGTAAAGTGCAGGAACCAAAAGTTACGTTTTCTCTTTTCTTTATTATATTATGTGAGACTTTCAGTGACCGCAATTGCCTCATCGATAGTCTTCACACACAATGTTGTAACTCATGCTTGGCCCAATTCTAAAGACCATTAATAAAGTAAAAGAGAGTCTCTTCACTGCTCAGATTGGGAATCTAAAGCCTTAAAGTGGTGAAGTCTTGTACATAATTAGAGATAGTGGTCTTATATTTATGCTCCCTTAGTTTCTTTCAAGCATTATAGACCATACTTTTTGGATAAAATTGCCTCTTTAACTCTTTCTTGAAATCCTCCTAAGTATTGATTATGCAAAGCCCCTTATCCATCTTGCATGCTTTCTGCACCACCATAATATGGCATTATCTGCAAGGAAGTAAGAAGTGGTATGTACTTTAGTTTGGTCATCATTCATCCCCAAGTTGTCAACATATTGTTCCATCTATCATAAGAAGTTCTTAACCTCCTTAGCATCACGTACACTCTCAAATTCTTTAGGTTTAGAAAGATCTTACTTCACTTCCCTTATTCTACTATTTCCATCCAATAGTGGATTCCTTCCTTTTTTTTCTAAGGAAGTTTTGAGAGTGTTGAGTTATTATTGCATTGTGATGATGGCATCCGTCACCTTTGTCTTCAAGGATTTCATGGCATCCTCCTATTGATCCTCAGAGTTTTGCAAAGCATCCATACTACTCTTTACCACTTCAAGTTCTTTAAGAGTGTAGTCCTCCAACATACTCATATCACCCTCAACCTTCTCTACTCCAACCATCTCTTCCATATATAGTTTTTTCCAAGGCTTCAATTTCTATTGATAGGCTAGCAAGGTCCTTTGAACATACCTTAACTAGTGTCTTGTGCCTTCTTGCCGCTCTAGTGGAGGTTAGGATTCCATTCCTCTCTCCTCTGCATGGGTAAGAGTTTCTTTAGTTACTTCTAAAATCCTTGCCTACAAATATGAACTTGAACTGCAGCTCCCTTGAACTTTTGTTCTGATACCCTTTGTCACGGTTTTAGAACTTTCCTTTTCTTGAATCGTGCTAGCTTTAGCTTGATCAACCTTTTGATTTTGGCTAAGTTAATCGAAACCCATAATGTAGGCAAAAAGATTTAAGAGAGCTAGTCACACAAGTTGAGAGTAGAGGATTTAAGTAAATGAACTTGAGAGCTTTATTGATTTGCTTAAATGGTTACAATTGAGAGGTAAATGGATATTTATAGGCCTCCCTCTTTTTCTAGAAAGATTCCACCTCGTTAATGAACGGTTGAAATTAATTCAATTTAATAGTGTACATTCTATCTCTAAAATATCTTGTAAAAATATCTACAAAAACTATCTTTGATATTTACAAGAAGATTTCTCAAATATACAAGAAGGAGATATTTTTAAAATAATTTAAATACTTCAAACACTCTCCATATTTATCTCAATCATTTTGAAAGCTTTTAAAATATTTTGATCTTGTGAAATTTTTGACTTTGTCACACGAAGTTGAGTATAACGGATAACGTTCTGTTCATCTTGATTCGTTGAAGGAATTACGTGGGGCCATCATGTTACTTTACTGTGACTTGATATTTTCCTCAAATGAACGGTCCAATTTTATTTAAATTACATTAATTTATTTTCAATTTTCACGCTACAAACTAAGAGAGTCCATTTTTCTTATGTCTGCACCGAGTTAGATGGTTGGACCTTACTGTAGTAATAGTAACTAAGGTTAAATTTAGGAGGATAGACAGGGACGAAACTGAGGGCATTGGCAGTCTTTCGCTTTTGCGGATTTGACGTTCCTTGGACTTTTGTTCATGGCAGCGCTCGTTCTTGTTGATGACTACTTATTGTGAACTGTACTGTGGGGGGAACTGAACTGTATCACGGAGAAGTGGTGGGACTGGCGGAACGGATATTGAGAGGGAGCAACAAGATACATTACTGTGGTCCCACGTTGCATGCACGTGATGTTTTGTTTAATTTAATACAAAATTAATTGTTAACCAGCGTACAAATGTTCATGAAAACTGTGTTGGTGTTCGATAAATAATAGGTAAATTTTTGTTAGTTATTCATACTTGGTACTGATATTTAGCTCTGGGATGAATTCAAAATGGTTTCTCGCCTCCTCAAACTCCTCGTTCTTATCCAACGATAGCCATGCTCTTGATTAAAAGCTTGCCCATCTCTGTGCACACTACACGCACACAGTTGGGTCTGGCGCTGACGCCTCTGGGATAGAGAAGATATTTTAAGAAGCCTCCAAGATATTCCAGACAGTTCAATTATATTTAATTAGAGAAAATGATACTCGGGTCTCGTAGTGTTAAATTAATGATAATTAGATCTCAACAATTTTTGTAAAAAAATAATTTAAAAAAATCAGTTTAAATAATTATGAATTTATGAGTTTTAATTATAAATATATTTAAATATTAAATACAACTTTTAGATTATAAAAGAAAATTTTATTGATAACTATTTAAATTGATATTTATAACTTTTTTTTTTGAGAAGATTTTGTCAGAGGGATGTAAGTGTCATCAATTCAAACTTCTGCGACCTAACGATAATTCTTCCATTTAATTATTCTCTCATGCATTTGCATTGAATCGATCAGACGACGGTAGATAGCCATGCTTCTGCTTAAATAAATCGGTCCAATCAAATTAGCTTGTAGTCATGCTCATTCCACAGCCAATATTAAATTATTGAGCAGGCCTTTATGGGGCTAGTGGACGGCTTAGATTTGTCAGCAAGGCCGGTCAAGATTAATGGCGCAAATTAGGCAAAGCTTTGAATCAGGACATTATGTGACTGATGAGAAGGAGAGGAAGACGTACGAGAGGCTTCGAGAAGGAGAGAAACCGGTTTGCAAAATAGCAGGTCTGATGTGAAAGATGATCGAACGTTACAAGAATTTTAACGATCAATGAGTTTCAAAAACTAAATCTATAACGTAAAAGGAATCAAAATGAACTTTTGTGTTCCTATATTGAACTACGGGATTTTTGTAATGCAAGTTGATTTGTTCAAAGGAGAGTCAAAATGTCCTTTGGAACTGCTAATTTGGCGAATTCACGCTCTTTTATTTTTATTTTTATTTTTTCATTTTTTGAACGTTTCTGTTAACACGTGTGTGTGTGTGTGTAGACTGCTTCCTTTATCAAAAAATGGAACATATGGTCATATATGCCTACCTACTTTGGGCTAAAGTACTTGGAGTTTAGGCAGTTTTGTTTGAAATCACTCAATCAACTTTCTTGACTACACATTTCAATTACTCAAATTCTTCACATACTCGTCTATAAACATAAAAAATAAGAAAAAATTAATCATTTAATTTTTTTAAAAATATAACTTTGAATTCTTGTGCTTTTTTTTTTAATATTTTAAATCCTTATACTTTTATTTTTTTAATATTTATGTCATTTCATGAGCTTGTTATATGGACCTAAAATATTAAAAAATAAAAGTGTAAGGACCTAAAATATTAAAAAAAGTGCAATGACCAATCGCAAAACTTGAGCAAAATTTAGAAATTCAAATTTTTTTTAATTTTTATAATTTTAACTCAATTAAATTTTAATTTCTTAAACTTTAACTCCATACAATTCAGTCGTTATAATTAGTTTTGAATTAGTGAAAATTTAATGTCTAAATTTTGACTCTTATAATACAATCCCATACTTTTATTTATTTAAGATGTTGTTTATTATTAAAAATTAGGGAGTAATTTATATAGCTAAAACTATACAAGGACTAAGTTGTATTGAATTAAAGTGCAGATATTGAATTATAATTAAATTAAGGGACAATTTCAACTAAGGACCAGGGATATGACTTAATTATTAACAGGTCCCAAAAGAATATAAAACTTAAGTTTAGGTTAAGAGGATTAAACTAAAAATAATTTCAATGGTAAAAAGTTCAAAGTACTTTTCACGTGTTAATTTTATCTAAGATGCAAAATAATTAGTTATTAATTTTTTTAATTTCATTTGTTAATTTATTAATACGAGTTGTAAATTATATGAACTAATCTATCAATAATTATACAAGATATGGCATCAGTTGTTCATTAAAAAGTAGCAATATTAATTGTTAAATTGTTAATTTTACTTGTTAATTTATTAATATTATTTGTAAATTACTAACATGTTTTGTAATTTATAACTGATGTTAGTAACTTAACAAGTATAATTACAAAATTAATAACTAATATTACTGCTTGTTGACAAACTGATGTACTTTATAACTCATACTAATAAATTAACAAGTTGAGTAAAAAAAATTAATAACCAATGATTCTGTATCTCGAACAAAAATAATAAGTTAATGATATTTTAATTTTTTTTACTGTTAAAATTATTTTCACTTCAATCCTCTTGAACTGAAATGAAATTTCAAATTTTTTGAGATTCACTAGTAATTAAGTCACATATCTAATTTTTAGTTAAAATCTTCCCGTAAATCAAATTATAAAGATGAAATTTTAAAGTTTATGAATTGAGCTATCGTCGAATAAAAAATATAGAGACTACAAGATTAGTTTCTCCTGAAAGTAAAAACGGGCTCACCTACCAATTTAAATCTCATTTTATTTATATCTTTCTCGTCACTTTAAGTGATTAATTAAAGAATTTAAGTCCCTTACTACCCTTAATTATTGATTGTTGTTGATAGCCTAGGACTCTAAGAATAAAATTATAAGAACACAAGAAAAATAGTAGTAAGATAGTATCAAATGAAATAATCCAACATAATTTCAATTTTTGTTAGCAAATTTTTGTCATAGATCACAGATTTTTATTACATTTATCTGTGTACCATAATTGAATATAAAGAACGACACGAGTTACATTTAACCTTGAAGAATAAAATTATAGTTAAGTAAGTGAATTGATGTTACTGCATCTAATATTTAATTTAAAATCATTCTGAAGAACCGGAAGACCAAAAGTTTAAATTAAACAAGAAAATTACATCACTCAATATTATTTTTTTGGTCATTAAATCATCCAACAAAAGTATATTTAATTTGGTGCCGTACACTCCATTATGATTTTCCGTTGGCAATAGTATGATGAAGTTGGTAGAATCGATGGTCGCAAATTGCTTTAATTTGTACTATATTTTTATACTAATCAAAGGTACCATTTTTCTTGTTTTTCATATTTCATAAATTCAAAGGACAACAACAAATGTGGGGTATTTTCGTACACCCCAACATCATCCGTGACTTAATTTGCAGAGACATTTTTTCGAAATTTATTTGATAAAAGTCAATTCAAGTCACAAAATGCGTGGCCTTTTGCGGAGTCTATTTCCTTCTTTTTTAACGGAAACTATAATTCAAAATGCTCATGCCAACCACCCTACGAATAGAAATTTCAAATCATAACGTATATTCTTTTTATATATATTTTCTTCTTCGCTTATTTTAATCAATTATATATATATATATATATATCAATATAATTACGACTCAATGGTCTTCAATATGTTTTATTATACACCCACACACAAGATACTATTATATATTCTGGCCTGCCTGGCGACTAAAATTGATTAACAAAAAAGACTCGTTAAAATAGTTGAGCCAGCCATGACTTTACATCATAGATTTCACTCAACATGCAATTAATATATAGCATGAATCTAGCAGCTAAGTTAATTAGTAGATATACTACCTATTAATTAACCTTCTCATGAGAAAAAAAAAAATACTTATTAGCCTCATCAGTCTTAGATTAACATGGTGAAATTTCTACGTAAAGGGTTTGGATTGTAATAGATATTGTTTCATTGCATGTTCTTCTTTGATCAGTTTTCCACAATGTAATGAACCCATGTTTAAATATTCACTTTATAAGGAGTTTTACACTTAGTATCTAATCGTGCCTTAAACAAAAAGTTTTATAATATAAGAACACTTTTGTGTGCATTAAAAAAATTCTTAAAAATAGATATAAATCTTATGCATTTAGAAGAGTTGAACTACCCGGAAATACAAACGAAATGAAGTGAAAGTTGAGGTCCCTGTGTCGTTTTCATGAATTCACAGAAATGAAGACAGAAGATGAGATTGCATTGGATTGGTCATCACCTACTCCTAGTCCTACCATGTAAGCTGAGAGGAGAATGATGAGTGGCACGTGAGATGAGAGGATGCTCTGATCTGATCATTGAGTCCCACAAGCAAAAGAGATCATCAATTAATATAGTTATCAGGGGTCAAAAAACGACAGCAAGAATAAACCAAATTACCATGAAGCCGATCACCGCTAGCGACGGCTATATATATATATATATATATATTAAGAAATTTGTAAATATATTTAATATTTTTGACCGAACCTCCTTTTGGATAGTAGGAGTAGGAGGGTTCGGTAGATCTTTCTCTTGATTATAAAAATCTCCCGGGCATTGCATGAGACTATTCAATTTTTTTTCAATAAACACATGTTTAAAAAAAAAATCATATTTCTCGCATTTTTAATAGTATTTTACTTGGAGTTAAAGTTGAATACAGTGGGTGAACTAAAATTTTTAAGGTTGATATTGTCAAGTTATTTGACCAGTTTTTCTTTTTTTAAAAAAATCTTGTTTATCTTGATAAAGGGATTAAATTAATTATAAAGGGTTCCCTTTAAAATAAATAACTGTGGTTAACTATAAGAGAAGTATAATTTTTTATATTTATTTAATCAGGCTTACTTTTGACATAGTTTTAGTATTTATATCTGGTTAAATTTTCCTTGGCCTCAAATTATACCAAAAAATGTGGATATTGTTAAAAATAAGCCTAGGACATAACAAGCAGCTTATTATTATTATTTTTTAAATTACCAACACGTCGTTATCAAATAACTAATAGCTAGCTGGCTGGCTGGCTGGCTAGCTGGTCGTGTTGAATCGTACTTTGTAATAAATTAATTGTAACTTCATGCTTTCTCGAAGAGCAAGTAGGATTTTCGAGGAAAGAATGTTCTACAGATGACCATTTCCATTCTTGCAAACTAATTAACTCGAGGACGTCATCGTTAATCAAAATCATCTACAGAAAAGTAATTTTCATTAAAATATAGTGACCGGTCCAAACGTAAAAATATTTTTGGTGATTAGTTAGATCAAAATATACTTGCAATATATTATATAAATAAAGATCTCCCGGCCGGTCCCGGTGCCTGGTTTATTGCATCCGTAATTAACTTTTCCGACTTGTTTATAAATTTCCTCACGTACAGATCTTTTGTATTGGGTAAATTGTTAAAGGAATGAAGACAAGCAACGAGAGTTGAGAGAACATTAATTCTTGCTTCGAAGGGGTAGAAAGATGAGAAAAGTAGAATGATCGGTTTATATACATGTCACTGCAGGCTCGTCCTTTCTTTATTCCGAACGGTTTAATTATATGCTTAAAAAAAACTATTACTTGACGGTGTCTGTGTGCGCGCGTGAGAAAGAAAGAAGCCAATACAAGAAAACTTGTCCAAGTCTCTAATATCATACCCAAAAATCACACCAAGTTATAGTAGAAAAGGAAGCACAATTTGAACACAAATCAGATTACATGGGGAAAGAATAAGACTTTTGCGTACGAATATTTGAATTATTAGCCATAATGCTACCAAAGCCGAGGGACTAAAGAAATGAAACTTTTTGTCCTTTTATTTTGGCATGAAAAGTAATAGTAGGGTCAACATTAATAACTACTTCATGCCCTGCTTAGCTTGCACCCACTATCCAATCCCAATCCGCGTTTCCAAGAACAGCCACTTGGGATCGCAATGGTCCAACCAACTCAATTTCTTAACAAAAAAAAAAAATGTTCTTTCAATTATTGCATATATATGATGTGTGCTAGTATATATTCTTCAAAACAAGTTAATCTATATTTTTACTCGTTCAAAGTGAATTTAACAAGACTTAATTACTGAGTTGGGGTGCTGGACGTACAGGTAAACAGAGAAGCTATATAAAGCCATGCTCTTGCTCTCCTAAAAGCACAAACCAGAATCCATTTGAAAGGCCAAGATGGGTTTTCCAATGGCTTCTCTAAGTCTCGTTCTGGTTTTAGTGTCTCTGAGCTTGCCATCTCAAATCTGTGCTGACTACGTTTACTCATCTCCTCCACCTCCCAAGAAGTATCCTCCACTGTCTCCTCCCTACCACTACGCATCCCCGCCTCCTCCGGTGTACTCGCCGCCACCTCCCAAGCACCCTTATCACTACGCTTCTCCTCCACCACCAACTTACTCTCCCCCTAAGAAACCCTACCACTACCCTTCACCACCACCTCCTCCCAAGAAGCCCTATCACTACACTTCCCCTCCACCACCAACTTACTCTCCTCCCAAGCATCCCTATCACTACCCTTCTCCACCACCACCAACTTACTCTCCTCCAAAGAAGCCCTATCACTATGCTTCTCCTCCACCACCCACTTACTCTCCTCCCAAGCATCCTTACCATTATCCTTCTCCTCCTCCTCCAAAGAAGCCCTACCATTATTCTTCTCCTCCACCACCAGTTTACTCTCCTCCCAAGCATCCCTACCATTATCCTTCTCCTCCTCCTCCAAAGAAGCCCTACCATTATTCTTCTCCTCCACCACCAGTTTACTCTCCTCCCAAGCATCCCTACCATTATCCTTCTCCTCCTCCTCCAAAGAAGCCCTACCATTATTCTTCTCCTCCACCACCAGTTTACACTCCCCCAAGCATCCCTACCATTACCCGTCTCCGCCGCCGCCCAAGGCTCCTTACCACTATGCATCTCCTCCGCCTCCGACCCCCGTCTATTCCCCTCCTCACAAGCCCTATGTCTATGCTTCGCCACCCCCTCCTTATCACTACTAGATACCGGCTTTGCATCTCACTCACTGTAAGCTTCTTTCGCCTGTCTCTGTTTTATTAATAACTAGCTGATTTTTTTTTCCTTAACATTTTTCTTAGCAGACTGATGACGATTAATAGTGTAATATACAACTCCAAAATCTATCTCAAGACGTGAATTTTGTGTCCAAAAAACTGATTTTATATGTATCTAGTAACTAGATGACGCGATATATAGCTATACGCACTCCATACTTAATTAAAAACTGTTTCAATATTTTCAAGTCTTTGTCAGTTTTTTAAATCAAACTATAACATGTTGACTTGTTTGTTAATTTTACTCATTATGATAAAAATTCTTCAGATACGTCTATTATATTGGAGAGAATAAATAAATTGTATACTTTTTTTTAATAAAAAATTAATGTTTATGTCACATTGCAGGGTTTGAAGAAAATTTATATTTAATGAGCAAAATAAAGAAAGCGATGGAAGGAAATGAAGAGCAAGGAAGGAAGGAAGCAGTCTACAATTCAGGAAATGAGAATGGAAGCAAAGTTTCCGTGTCGCCTTAATTAAGAAAATGATGCTTTATATATTCAGCACAAAATAAAGTGAAGTGTTAATTTGAATTCTGTCATTTTGTTCTTTATGGTGTGTGTAATTGTAAGGAACTGCACTGAGATGGATCACATGTATCCGCTGCTGATAAATCATGAGTAGCACATGCATGCATATACTTTGTGCAGTTTTCAAAACTTTATCTGCCTTTGCACGGGTTTCTCTGATAAACCACAATATATATATATACATAGATATAACGAATTCCAAATATTCTCTCTCAATCTTTACGTATGTGATCTTGTCGCTTGATTGTGATGATTTCACTTAAAACATGATTCATATATTCTCTTTATTACCCTAAACTAAGATTTTTCTTTGTTGATTTTTTTATAATATATAAGTTCTCACTTAACATCATTTGAATATAATGATTCCCAATTAACATCTTGCAGTACCCCGAATGAAATGAAATTAAAAAAATAAAATATAAGGTTATTTTTTTATTTAAAAGATGGCCTTATAAATAAAAATATAGTAATAAAAAATGGAATTTACTGCTAAGTAATAATAGTAAAAAACTACAAATTTAATAAGTATTGCATATCTCATTTTATGCAATAAAAAAAAAATACTTTAGCAATTGTCCCCCGGGCTAGAGAATCCAGCTCGCGTTGATAAATGAAGAGAAAAAATTAAAATACTTGCATTTGATTTGAAAATGGCGGGAAAATGTATACCCTCATCGAAAACTTAAGAAACTGTCATTAAGTAAAATTTTTAGCTTTAGAAATGAACATTTATGACAATAATGTTGATTCATCGATGCCTTACTCCAAAAGATCGGCTTATATGATTGCGATAAATTACAATTACCCATAAAATGAACATTTCAAATAAGTAAATTAGTATAAACAAATTAATCATGCAGTCCAAAATAAATCATATTTATTAATTTTTAACATTATTATGACTCCCTAGGTTTTGATGAAAATTACCCTGCTATAATGACTGATGACTGATTTAAGATACTCTTTGACGTGTGTGTGTGTATCACATATACCAAAATATACACATTATATATACTAGTTTGGATTTTGGATTTAATGGTATCTCTTATTAGAGAAAGAAGTCTCTCATCTTATAATAATTAGAATATAGATTAGAAATATATAATACCAAGTGATTTGAACTATTTTGGTAAATTGAAAATCCTCAAATATATTTAATATATAAAATTAGATTTAGATTCGATGAGTAGCTTAAATATATTCACTCAATGAATATTTCATATGACATGATAACAACAATTTGATTAATTGATGGCTATCAAAATTTTTGTCATATAATTCAAAAAGTATCAAATTTCACATTTTTGGAGGGACAACACAAGTAGGGCTAGTGTTATCATTGTGATTATTGTTTTGAATTTTTTGAATAAAATATATCTCAATAATTTTCAATTATAAATGGAATTTAATGATTGTAAGGAAATGCACTGAGATTAGGGGCAGAACCAGCTTTGATGTTGAGGGGGGCCAATTTTTGTTAAAAAAATATACTACTTTCATTAAAAAATATAAGATATATTTAACCAAATCATACCTCCAAATGAGATAATTAATTATTTTTAAATTGATACTACCTTTTTATGTTTGTTCTTATTTAATATGGTGTCTCTCTTGAAGGTAAATGGTTGAGTGATTTATTTATTAAAGATATTTTAGAGAAAAAAATCATTAATTACACATTAAAAATTAAAAATGTCTTATATTTTTTAACATCTAACATAAAAAAGTGTCTTATGTTTTTAAATGAAAGGAGTATGTGCATGTATAAATTGTTAATGAAGGATTAAAGGAGAAAATTTATGATATTTCTTATAAGTAAAATAGGAAGGAATATTACATAAGTATATGAATATATATCACATCTATGTATACTAGGATTTTTTTTTATCATTTCTGAAACCTTTTTATGAAGTTAAATATTTGGAGACCCATATGAATACATGGGGAAAGGCAGAGAGTTTTTTTTTTTTTTTTTTTGGGGGGGGGGGGGGGAGGGCATGGCTCTCCCCATCATATAAGTAGTTCCGCCCCTGACTGAGATGGGGCACATGTATTCGCTTCTGATAAATCAATAGCACATGCATGCATATATACTTTGTGCAGTTTTCAAAACTTTATCTGCCTTTACGCAGATTTCTCTGATAAACCACAATATATATATATATGTGTGTGTGTGTGTGTGTGTATGTATGTATAATGAATTCAAAATATTCTCTTTATTAACCTAAACTAAGATTTTTCCTTTATTGATTTTTTATAATAAGTTCTCCTCCCATGATTTTTTTTGGTGCTTTTACAAAATTTTCTTGTGAATATAATGATTCCCAATTAAGATCTTGCAGTTCCCAGAATGAAATGAAATTTAAAAATAAAACAAATATAAGGTTATTTTTTTATTTTAAAGATGGCCTTATAAATAAAAATATAGTAATAAAAAATGGCATCTACTGCAAACTAATAACAGTAAAAAAACTGCAAATTTAATAAGTATTGCATATCTCATATTTTATGCAATAAAAAAATTACTTTACCAATTGTCCCCCGGGCCAGAGAATCCAGCTCACGTTGATAAATGAAGTGAAAAAATAATTCAAATACTTACATATGATTTGAGAATGGAGGGAAAATGTACACTCTCATCGAAAACTTAAGAAACTGTCATTAAGTAAAATTTTTAGCTTTGGAAATAAATACTTATGAAATGTTAGTACATAGAAGAATCAGACAAGAAATGAAGAGGGCTCAGAATAATGCGGTGCCTTGGCCTGCCATTTCCATTGATATAAATAGTACAAGTCTGTGCAAAACGGTTACAAGAAAATGAATGAATAAATACACATAGAGAGAGAAACTATATAGGGTGTAGATGTCATCCTTATCTACAAAATAACTAATTACATAATTAAGACTCCATATTATTTTCTAACACTCTCCCTCAAATGCAGGGGAGTTATTGACAACCCAAGTTTGTTTCTAAAGGTTGAAAATTGTGTGGAGGCCAAAGCTTTGATAAAAGAGTCTGTAACTTGATTATGAGAAGGAATGTATCTAACGTGAAGGATATCAGCCATAACTTGATCTCTCACAAAATGCAAATCAATTTCTATATGCCTAGTTCTAACATGTTGTACAGGATTGGCAGTAAGAGCATTTGTACTGATATTGTCACACCAAACAGTAGGAGGATACTTAGGTGCACATCCTAATTCATAAAGTAATGAACACAACCAATTAACTTTAGTAGTGGTGTTTGCTAAAGCTCTATACTTTGATTTAGTACTAGATCTTGACACAACTCTTTGTTTACTAGATGCCCAGGTAATTAAAGTATTTCCTAAATATATACAAAAACTTGCCATTGACTTTCTATCATCCACATTTGTAGCCCAATCAGCAATTGTAAAGGCATTTAGTTGTAGCTGAGAAAATGGTTTAATGTGCAACTTAAGATTATAAGTTCCCTTGAGATACCTCAGTATTCTTTTTAAGGCTTGAAAATGAACAAAAGTTGGGCTTGACATAAACTGACTCAACTTATTCACAGAAAAGGCTATATCAGGTCGAGTAGTTGTTAAATATTGAAGAGCACTAGTTAAATATTAAAGAGCACTAATAACTTGTCGATATTTACTGGGATCAGTTAATGGTTCACCATCAGAAATTGAAAACTATCAACCACTAACCATAAGTGTAGACACAAAGGTAGCATTAAGCATATCATGTCGTTTTAACAAATCAAGGACATATTTTGCTTGATTCAAAAACATTCCAGAGCTATCACAAGCAACTTCTATGCCAAGAAAGTAATGAATAGAACCCAAGTCTTTGAGAGAAAACAAGCTATTGAGTTTTTCAATAAAAGACCTCATATAAGAAGGATTATTTCTAGTTACAACAATATCATCCATATAAATTAAGATAAATACCATTAATCCACTTGTGCGAAGCATAAATAATGAAGTATCACTTCAAGCATTTTGAAATCCCCATTGCAACAGAGTAAGTCGCAATCTTTCATACCACGCACGCGGTGCTTGTTTCAAGCCATAAATTGCTTTAATAAGCTTGCACACATGATTTGATTTTTGAGAATCAATAAATCCCTCAAGCTGATGCATAAGAACTTCCTCTTCCAAAAATCCATTGAGAAAAGCTTTATTAATATCCAATTGCCTAACTTCCCAATTAAAAGTCACAACAAGGGTAAGAACAACACGTACCATGATTATTTAACAACTGGACTAAAGGTCTCAACATAATCAAAACCTAGAATTTACTGAAAGCCTTTCACGACCAGTCATGCTTTACACTTTAAAAACAAGCCATCAGCTTTATATTTAGTCTTAAACACCCAGTGACAGTCAATCACCTTCTACATTTTCTGATAAGGAACTAAAATCTATGTTTGATTTTGCTTTAAAGCTTTA